AAACTTTAAAATACAGCCTCATTAACCAACCTTAAACATCTGAAGGAACGGCTGAAGAGTGTTAGCTGGCATGAGAGATGATGTTGAGGAGCCATACCAGCTGACGTGCGCTTGTTGCCATTTCGTGTCTCCACCACCTTCACGTAATTCCCGAATGGCTTTGACCTATTTAAACATATAAATTTACCTTTCACTATTGTACCATAACATACTAATAACATTCACTTACCCACATGCCAATAAAATTCCCCTACTTAAAACATATTCATATGCTTACTCATTCACTCATATCCAGGATATAAATTCTCTTTCCATATTCCCGATTTCATTAAATTAGTAATATCTAACTATAGAAATTGAGGGATAAAAAGCCATGCATTACTCCATAAAGCACGTAACATTTAACCCTGTCTGGACTACATACAATTTTCTTTACTACCCTAAATAATACTACCCTAAATAATCTATTTGGACCTAACAAAGATCTATCATTTTAAAACCATGTGACTTGTGACACTGTTCACTAATTCATGTGAATCAGTTTTATTACTGCGATCCTGATGAAAAATCTGTCATGGTCACAATTCATCAAGAAAAGTAGGGAGAAAAAAAGGGTTTCACATCAATGACTGCCAACTCCCAAAAGGCTCAATTATAGTACATTTGTCTGGATGTTTAGGAGGCCCTGCCCCAATCAGGGTAGAATCATTAAAAAGTACCACAATTAATTGTTACTAATATTTGACTCTCAATTTGATTATTACACATTTCCTTTTTACAAAGTATCTTGTACATCATAACTTACATTAATACTCAAAATCATGATAAGGAAGTTTAAATCATAATTAGCACCCGATCCAAAGGACTGATACCAAATCTGACCCATACTTTAAGCAACAGTATTTGGTTCTTCAAAAGTTTATATATTCATCAATTCATAACTATTATTCTTAAGCAAATAATACAGGCATAAGTGATCAAACAGGCTTATATCATTGTCAGATTTTCATTTTTGTCAAAACATGAGTGATGAGTGAAAAGTAGTGAAATTTTTTTTTGGTATTCTTTATAATTGCTCCTGCTTTCATTCTATAACTATTGCTTCTATGTATCTTTCATTTTATCCACAAGAACAATGACTATTGCATAAAAGAATATTTGCAATACAAAAAAAAAGGCAATGATTAAAGGCATCAAAATGTTCTTTTTTGCACAGTAACATTGGTATGAATTATTATGTGCTTACCCTTTTTGCTAAGGAAACCTCTGGCACATGTGTTGGTGTGCAGGGGAGTTTGCTGCTCAAAAGAAAAATCAGAAGTACAGGAACCATAAAATTAATCTACTCTTTATGCTTTTTGCTGTGGTTTAAACAAAGCTTGAGGAGATATGTTTACTTTTCAGGACCTTTATCTCTTTAATGATCATAGACTGGAGGGATAGTTTGCCATGGCATCTTATGTGATGGTAGATTATCCTGTGCAATTAAGCATCCTGTAAGTTGTGTAAGCTTAACGGTTTTGTGTCTGATTGGCACTGGCTGCTTTCTTTGAGGAGAAAGAGAACCTCAAATGAGGCTTAACCCATTTATGCCGGTATATTTTGAAGTCGAGAATAAAAGATTCCAGTGGCTACAAAATCGGCAGGCGGGGCTGCCCCGGACTCCACCTGCCCGCCCGCCACAGCCCTCTGCGTTGGAGTGCAAGCCCCGATACAACGTCACATTAGCGGGACGCCCGGCAATGTTTATTTTTTTCTGGTGTCTCATATGTGGGACACCCGTCGTTAGTGGGTTAAATCCTCTTTTTAGTCTCATTACCTAAAAAATTGTTTATGCCATAGTCAAGCCCATAGAGAGCAGGATAATGATATTTCCCATGGTTCTGATTTTCCCCTCAAGCAGCTGACTCTGCATGCACCTTGACATGTGGTTTGGTATGGTACTAGGGATTCCCATTATGATTAAGTTATGAGTTAGACATCAAGTGATGACATTCAGTGTGATAATATGTTCTTTGTCTTTGGCACTAGGGAGAGTGGCCTCCTCTAAATCCAGACTGAATAAACTATAATCACCAGAAAGTTGCCCTACCCTGAGAGACAGAAAATTTATCTGATCTGAGAGGATTTAAATTTTTTTCTGTCCAACTAAAAGCCAACAGATATCTATAAGACAAATTCATAACATCAGGCAATATATGGTTAAATTGATGTAGTTATTCTCCTTCTTTCTAGATAGCTATCATTTCAAATATTCCAATCCTAAACATCTATTTATGTGAGAAGAAAAAATTAAGGTTACCTACGCCAAAAACTGAATAATCTTTATACTAACTTATTATTTAAACATAATAGAAACAATGGAATACCTTAGCTGGCCACCATGGGAAACCATGGATCTTTCCCCACACAACATCTCCAACATTCATTATTCTGCCCTCATCAAGCTCACATTTCTCCACCTCCTGCCAGCTTAACTTCATTAGCAGAGCAGCACTGGGATGGTCCTCTAAACTATCTATGTTTGGTGCTCTGGAGGGGAAATCTGGGATTGCACCACTACAAGCCTCATCACTTCCTGGGGAATCACTTCCAGGCATCATTGATTCTGGGGTATCCACACAGTATGTTGGTGCTGTCAGCATCGGGTAACTCTGTGTGGTCATTTCTGTGGGTTTAACTGCACTGTCATTTCCTTCATCAAATGGCAAAGGCAACTCTAAGGGTACATCCTTCTCACATTCAACACTCTCACAAATGTCTTTTGGTCTTTCATCTTTATTCTCTTGTTCACTATACACAACTCCCTGAGCTTCCTCAATGACATCATCTTCATTTCCACTGGGTACAGTTGGTGTGACAGTTCTCTCTCCATCAGAATGACTGGAGTCACATGCCACATAGCTGGCATTACTGACTCTCTTTATGGATATTGAGAGTTTGTGTCTTGATGACTGCATGGGAGCCCCTGTGTTGGATGCAGGTTGAGAGCTGTGTGATATCTGATTCAGTGCGGCATGCGGTAAAGAATCTAAGTGAGATTCTCTCACTTCTGACGAGTTCCAGTGTATGTCTGGTGTAATGTTTTCAACTGGAACATCATGTTCTGTAGTGTCTGGAAGGTGTGGTAGGTCCTCCTTACTATCTTTTGACTGTGACTTATTATCCTCTGGGCTTTTGTGCCTTCTTTCATCCTTGTGCTTCTTTTTATGCTTCACTTTATGTTTGTGCTTCTTAGGGGGTAGATCTCTGGTTGAAAGGTCCACTGCAGCAGCCCTGGCAGGCGACATACCTCCAAAACGTGCTGGAGAAGTACCACCAAATCTAGCAGGGGAGAAACCACCTAATCTAGCAGGTGACATTCCACCCAATCTCAAAGGCGACATACCCCCAAACCTTGGTGACATACCCCCCATAATATACGCTGGGGAAGCTCCTCCAAGCAGTGCTTTTTTCTGTGCTTCTTTTTTTGCTTTTTTCAGAGCCTTTTTTGCAGCCTTAGCACTCATATCTTTGTATTTCTTATTTATTTCCTCTTCTGTCTCAACTTCAGGTGTATTCATAGTTACAACTGTACTCTTAGAAGGAATCTTCAGTACTGTACCTTTCCCTTCTGGGCCAAAGGAAATCTTTAAGACTGGTGTTGCTTTGGGTTTATCTCCCTCCATTCCTTCCTTCTCTTCATTTCCGATCTTACTGCTTTCCTCCAATTCATTTTCCTCTTCTTCCTTACTTTTATGCTTTTTCGCTGTCTCATCAAACACACTTTCATCCCACAAATCTTCCATGGAACCAAGGGACCTCTTTTTTCTCAAGCTCATTTTTTCAAGAGGGGAGTCTTCAGTTGTCTTCTTGTGGTGCTTAAGATCACCAACTTCTTGCTCCTCCAGCCCATCCTTCTTTTGCACAACAGGAAGGATAGTTAACTTTGGTATTGGAGAAACTCTGTCAGAGAGTGATTCACTAAAGCTTTGGTGGCCTGCTGTATTTATCGTTAGTTTGTGAACATTGCCCGAACGTAATCTTAATTCTTTTGCATCAAGTCGAGATTCACTATTGTCTCCTTGCTTTCTTGCTTTATTAACATCTTTTTCTCTTCTATCATTAGCCTGGTCTGAAACAACCCCCGAAGTAGATAAAATCATTTTTGGTATGCACGGGCTTTTTGCCTCACTAATATCTTCCGTATCATCAAGTCTATTTCGAGTCCAATTTTCTTTAGAAAGCTCACTTGCTTGTAATGCAAGGTTTATAGTCATCTTTGGGATTCTGCCTTTTCTCTTACCTTCTGATAACTCTGGATTGCATAAATTTGTTGAGAGTTTTAATTTAGGGACTTTTCCATCTGTATTATTATTATTATTTCCAGTCACCGCATATGCTGGGTTTGACCCCACACTAATTTCACTATCACATGAATCTGAGTCACTACGGGAATTACGGGATGGTGGACTTATTCTCAGACAGCTGACACCTTTACTTGTAGCTGCTTCAATCTCACTGGGTTTTAGTTTGACTAACTTAGGGACAAGCATCACACTCTTTTGAGGGGACTTGTCTGCTCTATCTTTCTCCTTCTCTCTCTCTCTCCTTTGGGCTGCGGAGAGAGTGCCATGGGATTCCTGAGAACCTCGATCGCGTGAACCCCTTGTGTTCCCCCTTGTCTCTGCTGTCACCTTTGATGTTGTTGGAGGCTCTGTTGCCCTTTGTCCTTTTGCTCCACTTACATTCTCAGATTTTTCATTGCATATGGACTGGCACTTTGAACACAAAACCTGCCTGGGTCTCAAACGCACTGTCATTCTGGAGTTCTTGAATCGCTGTGTTAGGGATATAGACCTTCGCAGCTGTACTCCCTTTTTCTCTTTTGAGGACACTGTACCATCAGCACTTGCAGGATCCTGTTGGTAATTACGTATGCTCTCTGCTTTAACCGGAGAGAAGCTGTCCTCATTTGTCGCGACATAAACGTTATCAATGTTGTTATGGGGTCTGGCGTG